GGCGCAGAATGAGAGCTTTGTGTTGTCTTCAGCCCAGCCACGTGTTGTTTCTGGTGGCATCAAGAAAAAGGTGCGATGCCCTCGTGTGTCTTCTTGGGAAGGCTGTCAATGGTGCTTCCCGCGGTGAAGGATTCGGGTCAAACGATTTGCGACTCGGATGCTGATCAGATTGTTGCGCACGCAGACACCGAAGCAGGCAACTGCAGCGTACTGTGGAATATCCTCGCCTTGCCTCCCTGAGTTCTCGCCAATTTGAGTCTTGTTCCCTGTCGCCTCGTGATCCCATGTTCAGGACCACAACAAAAATGTTTTCACCCCCGCCGTGAAAGAAATAAGCCAAATGCTTGCGATAATCTGCTCGAGAGGTGAGCTGTCGCCATCCAGAGCAGGGGACTTCATTGATGCTGCCCGATTGACTCGAAACGCGCTCGCTGCTCTTGTTNAAGGATTTTTTTCTTCGAAATCGAACCATGTGGACGATCAACCTCGCGAAAGCGGAGGGAAACGTCTGAGCCTCAAAATTTGATTGGGTGGACAATTTCCTTCATCAGTGAAGCCAATGTTTCCTCGTACGCATGCTTTCCCTCGGAATCCGTCGTAGTTGAGATACGTGGCCAATGGACAAAACTTTGCGCGGAAGTCAATGAATACGTACATCACATTTTTCCGGAGTAGTTGAATTTTGCGGTAGGGTGGCACACCGCTGTTCTGTACAATGATATTGGCTCCCTGTGTATCTTCTCTTTGACGGGCGATTGGTCCCCCCAAATATTTTCNTAAGTCAATGAATACGTGCATCACATTTTTCCGGAGTAGTTGAATTTTGCGGTAGGGTGGCACACCGCTGTTCTGTACAATGATATTGGCTCCCTGTGTATCTTCTCTTTGACGGGCGATTGGTCCCCCCAAATATTTTCAGGCGTTGCCGGCCTCTTTCAAACATTGCTTTGAGAGACTTTTCCTACAAACAAACAACGGGACCTTGACGTTGTCTGAGCTTTGCTCACTTACCCCTCTCCTTCCGTGGCACGTGGCACGTCTCAGGTTCCCCGACACGACGGTGTACAAGGACATCACCGAACAGCTCCTCGTTATGTCAAACGTAGAGGACTTGAACAAGAGCATCGAGGAGTGTCAAAGCAAGCAGGGTATCCTTCGGGAATATTCTCGACGTCATCTTCCCCCGTGATAAGCAGTCTCGGTAGTGTCGGTCGTGTCGCTAGCGTCGGGAGTTCCCGCAATATTTTGTCAGCACCGGTATCGCCGAAGGCCGTATCGCCGAAAAATGCTAATCCGCTTCCCCCCTTAAAAGTACCGCCACATGGCAAACCACCAAAATAAAAACCGCCTGATTGTGGTGGTACCGGAACCCAACAATTACGGACATATCGTGGTACCACCAAACAGGTACCACCTTAACGTCACTCGATTGGTGGTCCAATGGGTGCACACAGTTTCGAAACTGGAGTTCAGATCCCGCCAGTGCTACATACTATATTTCAATTTTCTTTGTTCTCTTTATTTTTTACTTTTTGTTGCTTTGTTTTTTGGTGGTGTTGGTTCCGTTTCGGTACAGGTGGAACGTACGGTTGACCTTAGCCTACGAAAGTAGCCAGTCTCCAGGCACCGCGACTATCCCCTAAGTATTGACGTGGACTTGTGTTTTTGGTCCACATCCCCCCTTGTCTTCATGTGTTGCCGCGTGGTCTGGTTTGAGTTACAACAATGTACACCGCGGGTAGTTCCTCGAAGAGACTCATACAATCCCTCTAGCGGTCCCACATAACGGTAAAAAAAATGTTCAAGAATAAATGAATGGTCATTTCAGTCCGAAGGCCTGAACCACGCACTTTTTGAGCCGAACGCCCGAGACGCGAGAAATCACTCCCATCGATCGTCCTGCACTACTTTAGAAGCCCTCAGCAAGTTTCAGCTTGATTGGCGCCTTCTGCGTTGACGGTTGGCTGTGTCGGTGACCGGCACTGTCAAGAACGATGCACAAGCATGCAGCAGGTGCTGCCGACACCAACTTGCTCCGATCGATTGTGCCTAAACGTTGTCTATTCTCCCACCAAATACAAGCCCCGTCCAATCTACCGGTGCACTGACAGGTCCTTAGACGCTGGAATAGCTGTGTGTCTACTAATTATGCCTGCCAACGAGAGGTTAGGGCCACACCACTCAACCTCCCGACGAGGAAGTGCATATGTTCCTCGCAAATCGACGGTTTCGATTTTTCTTACTCGCGCGCGCATAATGTTGCGGAACAAATACATCACCAATCCATTGTGTAGTTTATCCTTATCTTGACACGTGTGCCCCGCGATACTATTCGCCGTGTTTCGAGGGAAACATTATTTGTTCTTGTGCATACGCGCGCGCATAGAGGGATGGAAGCAGCGATTTGTGTTTAAGTGTTTGTGTATATCTCTTCCCGAACAGTCTTGTAAGCTGAATACGCGATCTATCAGTCCAAGGCGTGCGGGTTGTCATAGCTGTTGTTCTCTTGTTTGTAACCTCTTGTTGAACCGCATCACGCACGCGCAAGCATGTTCATCGCATTTTGCACGCACACCAACAACTTGACAACTTGATGATTGATGATTCTCTCTTTTCTGCGTGGGAGCACATCCATCCATGCATCCATGGGATGTCGTCGATGAAATAGTGTCGAAACTGCATACGTATTTCATCGCCTATTGTGACCATGGGAGAATGATGTATGGCGGATGTGCACATCGATAATCTGTTCACTCCGGCGAGTAACATTGATTCACATTGAAAAACCCCACCCGGTGGTGTAGCTACACCAAGGAGTAGGTGGCGTGTGTTCCGATCAGAGCCAATCGATGCGAGCCCCTCCACAAGGGAGGGGGAGGGAATTCACTGCCATCTCAGCAACAAACAACTCGTATCACACGCGTCAATACGTACCGGGATTCTGCACAACACCAACACAAAGAAAACATTATTATGTCTAGGCTAGGAGATTGCGCAGGTCGGCGCAAGCGGTGGAGCATGTGATTCTCTGCTCTAAAACCATTTGGGAAGGGGGCTGATTAGCCCGGCTGTCAAAGTCGACCGACAGGATACAGCAGCCGCATATTTCGTGGTGGATGCACAACGCATTACAACTACCGTCTTACATTTTTCTTCCTTCGTCAACTGCCGTACAAGACATGAGCAAGCAANGTGTCAAAGTCGATCGACAGGATACAGCAGCCGCATATTTCGCGGTGGATGCACAACGCACTACTACTAGCGTCTTACATTTTCATTCCTTCGTCAACTGCCGTGCAAGACATGAGCAAGCAAGGCCAGGACCTACCCTATTGCTGTGAGTGGGTGGTTAGTAGGGGTGGGTGTAACGCAGAGTGTCTCCAAAACGAGACGCGCCGCGTTAGTTATTCATGGAAGTGCCGTAATTCAGCGTACAGAGAGTTCGCCGTTGTAACAACACCACGGGCCAACCGCTCCACACCAGATCCACTTCGTTCTTAGGTACAATAAGAAAGCCCGTTCCCTCCGCTGGTCGAGGGCGCGTAACGACTGCTGTGGTCGCGTAGCACCACCTCGTTGTACAACGTGTACCGCTGACCGCTGGTTGCACAAGATATCACACCCCCTTAACCAAATTTCAAAGCCCAAATATTCCACAGCAACAAAAGGGTGATGACGCCGAAAATGGCAGCGTTGGAAACGGCTCGTCGAGAGCTTTGCGAAGCCGTATCGTTTGTTTTATACTCCAGCCTTTCCGTCGTGAAGCACTCGAGCTTTGAACACCCATGAAGGGGGGTGGTATCTGGTGTCACGTACAGGTACACAAATGACATATGCCTGTGACACGCCACGCCAAAGCATGTTGGCGCCACACACGCTCCGAACTGCTGTGCCTACCTTACNGCATATGACACGCCACGCCAAAGCATGTTGGGGCCACACACGCTCCGAACTGCTGTGCCTACCTTACATCGCTAAAGCAGAATCAGCTCCGGTAGCCAAGCGTGGAATTCGATCGCGAAGGCTCCCCCCTCGCAGAGAGGGGCAGAGGCGACCAAGGTGATCTCAGAGGCGGAGTGTTTTCGTGCAGCGCGCCGAGCAACGGCGCAACCGCCAAGTTCAACCATGCCGTGTCTATTGAAGGCCATATCACTTGATGGCGAGATATAGTGAAGCCTTGGACACTTTCGCCCCAAACCACTGCCAGTGGGTACTCACACACCTGCTCCACCGTGAACTGACTTCCATGGTTGGGACTACGTCCGGCCTAGCTGAGCTTTCCGGCTGTCCGTGATCGTGTTCACCAGGTATTCGGGTGCTGGGTTGTACTGGGGTTGTCGGCGGTGGGCCGTGACCGATGTACATGTGCCCCCTGTTTTCAAGGAGGCGTTCACCAGCCAAACAAAAAGGGCGTAACTTACATGCATATGCATAGCACGTAATTGCACTAATTCAGATCAGCAGCGGTCCCATCTGGTTGAAGTTCAGCAAGGAGCACATTCACCGTGCTCTAGCCCACGTTATAGAGTTGATCCACACGACGAGAGCGGTGCCGTAAAAAGAGGGAACGACAGGGTCCAGCTGTTCCCCGCTTTCTACCGCGCTTGTGCAAAACTGCAAAGAAGAGGTGGGTCTTTTCTGTTCCTCTCTCCTCTCTCCTCTCTTTCATAGACTGGGTTGTGGATCCCGCTGCAAAGTGTGGCATCGTTCATCATTCGCACATCGCCGAGGTTGTTCGCGCTCGAAGACGTTGTTGTGGTTCTGTGATGCGATCATCCTCTTGTGATGCTGGTGTGAATGCACCACTTCAGTCGCGAAACGACGACCAACAGAAATCGATGGTACGTGTGCTCTTTCAACAAGTGTTTGTCTTTGCGAACGTCCCGCAAACTTCCGCATACCCAGGCCCCCTACTACACGATGGCGCAGACGGACCGCAAGGCGCTGGTTGCCCTATACAACGCGACCGGTGGGGCTATGTGGCCGATCAAGCGAAACTGGAACACTCGTGTCGCCCTCTCGCAATGGTACGGAGTCGAAGTCAACTCCCAGGGCCGCGTGGTGAAGTTGTCTCTGGCGGGCAACGACCTCCAAGGTATTATTCTTCGATTTCTTTCTTGCGATCTCTCTGACCTTCCCCAAGAACTCTTCGACCAACAGCAGTGGCCCTTTCATGAAGTCCCAAGTCTTGCAACATGCCACCAGGTTGTCTCATTCTTACGTTCCCGTGTTCTGCACACGGTCTACGCACCAGGCTACCGTTTTCGTCCAAGCTAATCGACACTGCAATGTTTCGCCTCCTAGCTTGCTCCTTGAACACGCGCCACCTGTACAGCACATGACTTTTCTTGCCTTCCAACTGCCTCTGGTACGCTGGGGACTTTCGGTATCTCTTCTTGTGCAGGGCTCTGATGCGGCGCACGTTGTACTCTGGAGCATTCTCCACGATAACACCACTCCTCACGGGCCTTGTAGGCTTGGTGGTTGGTTTCCGTGCTGACATCCATCCGTTTTTGTTTGTCGCAGCCATGCGTGGAAAAATGTGGCAAATGCCGCGTGGTGTCAACAATGCGGAAAGCGTGTATTCTAGGCGTCGGCAGGGTCGGCGGCGAATCAACAAAAATAACCCGACCGGCTTGTAGAGCATGTACTAGCCTCCGCGACACGTAG